CATGTGACTTCTAGCTTTTCCCCAAAGTCAAAATGATCTTGAAAGGTATTTGCATGGAATTGATTCAGGACATCAAAGCAACCCTGGGCAACTGAAGACACCCAGGAAAGAGGACCTCCAGAACAGCTTCAGGAAGTGACAAGAACGGTGGGAAGAGTGTGTCTGAAGGAAGGGGGAGTATTTTGAGGGGGCATTTGTAATGATTGTCTTTTGAAACATACATGATGTTGTCTGATCATATGTCCTGCATCCTGCTCCTCACCGGCACCCACCTGCAACACCATGCCCATGCTGCCTTGCTCTAGGCCAAGGATGAGCTGAACGAGAGGGAGGAGACTCGGGAGGAGGTGGTGCGGGAGCTGCAGGAGTTGGTGCAGACCCAGGCGGCCTCTGGGGAAGAGCTGGCCTTGGCGGTGGCGGAGAGGGTGCAGGGGAGAGACAACGGCTTCTTCCTGCGCTTCATCCGAGCACGCAAGTTTGACGTGGGCCGTGCCTATGAGCTGCTCAAAGGTGAGCCTTGCACTTGCAGAAAAGAAGACAGAGAAGGGGTCCACCCTGGGCTCGTGCTAAGAAGACCCCCTTACTGTCATGGGCAAGTCACTCTGAGCCTTCTTAGTGTTCTCCACAAAGTGGGTGTGCATGTGTGGGGATCGGATTGACTTTAAACTCCCATTCAGTTCTGACAGCAAATGAATGAATGAATGAATGAATGGATGGATGGATGGATGGATGAATGAATGAATGATGAATGAGTTTGTCAGCACCTGATTGCCAGAGGAATCTACTCTCTGTTTTGGAGCTCAACAAGTAGAACTGGAGCACCAGCCCCGGTCTCCATTCTCAGACCCGCCCTTTGCTCTGGAACCCACAGGGAGGCAGGCAGAAGCCTCTGCCCTCCTTCCACAAATGTTTATTCCTGCCACGCTGTTCCAACCACTGCTTTAGGATTGCAGTGGAGAACAACACGGACCACAATCTCTTCCCTGTCTTCCTGGATTTACATTTTACTGGTGGAGATAATAAGCTAGGGAAATATAAAATAAGAGAATGTAGAATGTTAGTGGTAAGGGACAAAGAAAAGGAGCCAGGCCTAGTGGCGCACGCTTGTGATCCCAGTACTCAGGAGGCTGAGGCTGGAGGATTGTTGTGAGATCCAGGCCAGCCTGAACTACATAGTGAGATCTTGTCTTAAAAAAAGAAAAAAAAAAAAAAAGGAAAGAGATTGAAATTTTTCTTAGTACTGGGGATTGAACCTATTGTACTGAGCTACATCTCTAGCTCTTTTTTATTTTTATTTTTTTAAATTTTGAAATAAGGTCTTGCTAAACTACAGATTGCCCAGGATGGGCTCATACCGCTGGAATTACCGGTGTGTGCCACCACACCCATTTTATCATCCCATCTTGTCTTTTTTTTGGAGAGGAAGTTGGGGCTCAGACAAACTGAGTGTCCTGCTCCATCCCACACAGGATGGATGTGGATGCTCCTGGGCCGGCCCGAGTGCCACTGAGTAACACCTCCTAGGGGCATGCTGGCCAGCACTGGCGGGGCTCCCTAAAGCTTCTTGGCTCTGCCCCTCCAGGCTACGTGCACTTCCGGCTGCAGTACCCGGAGCTCTTTGACAGCGTGTCCCTGGAGGCCGTACGGTGCACCATCGAGGCTGGCTACCCTGGTGTGCTCTCCAGCCGGGACAAGTATGGCCGAGTGGTCATGCTCTTCAAAATCGAGAACTGGCAGTCTGACGAGATCACCTTCGATGAGGTTGGTGGGGTGGGTGAGAAAAAGAACTTTGGTTATGCCATTGAGCCTTCCACAGGGTTCTTAGAGGACACAGTATAAATTCATTTTTGAAAAATGCTATCTGGTTGCCCCACACCTCTTATTAAGAAGTCCACCTTTTCTTAAAGATGTGACATATTATCTTTATCATATATTTCCACACATCTGGGATCTGTTTCTGTATTTTAAGATTCTGTCCCATTGGTCTCTTTGTCTATTCATTCTCTAATACCACTCTGCTTTAATTATAGAAATTTGTATGGCATGTGTGTAATATCTTTTAGGTTAATTCCATGTTTCTTCAGCTTTTCTTCTTTTGGTGTGGTCCTAGGGATGGAATCCAGGGCCCGGTGCATGCACGGCAAGCGTCCTGCTACTTACGTATACTGCAGCTCTTTGTCCTTAATACTCCGCTTTTTCTAGGCTTTCCTAGCTATCCTTTCCTTTTCTTTTTTTGAAATAGGCTCTCACTATGTAGCCCAGGAGCCTAGGATAGTTTTAAACTTGCAGGGATCCTCCCGCCTCAGCCTCCCAAGTGCAGGGATTACGGGTGTGCACTACCACATCTGATCTTCCTAGCTATTTTTAAATATTTGTTTCCTCTGTGAACTTTAAAATTATTTTGTCCAGCCCCTAGAGAAACACTAGGTACATTTTTATGGGGATAGTATCACATGTAAATGACAAACTTGGGGAAAATCGTGTCTTTGTAAGTGCCACATTCATGGCTAGTTGACCCATTCACAAACAGGTGCCACCCATTTTATTCAAATTTTGAATAAAATTCTACTTTTGAATTTTCAGGAGTTTTTAAATTTCCCTCCTAAATGTTGCTCACATTCTTCCTTAAATTTGTCTTCTGAGTGTATTTTGCTGGGGCTTTCTCTTCTAATGAGTAGTTGTGTACAAGAAGATTGTTGTTTTTGCATGTCAATTTGTCTTTTATCTTACTGAATTA